CGCGCAATTCCTTGTCTCCTCAGTTGCTCTTCTTTACTGTAGTGTCTGTCAGGTTTGCGTTTCCCTCTTGCTACTAGTACTAGCTGCTCACTAATTCCTGCTATCAGCTGTTTCCTGTTTATCCACCGCCAGTGGGTCATATGTGCGGCGTCATCAACAGCTCCTCCCACAAGTCTTGAACAGTCCCCCCTGTTGCGGAAGGCCGCCTCATTCTGTGTGGGTTCCGCCAATATGACTACCCTACGAGGTGGAAAATTGGGCACCTCGGATCAACTCGCCAATCCGGCTCTGTGTGTCTAAACGCTCGCAGCGTGCCGGCAAAACAGCCCAACATTCACGGAAAATCTGGCAGTGTAAAAGGGGCTTATGTGTTAGGTCTCAATAGCCAGCGATCTGTCCAGGGTGTACACCGCCTATTCCCTACTGTCAGCTGGGATAGGCTCCAGCCCCCTGCGACCCCTAACAGGATAAGAGGTTACAGAAAATGAATGAATGAATGTAGTATCATCATGGAAAAACTAGGGTGCATCTCTTTAAGCGTTGATCGTGAGTTTACTGCATCCTTTCCTCCTGAAGGCGTCCCATGGATAACCCCTGTTCATCCCAAACATGTTTTCTGTTGTCCCCTGGAGGACGGGACACCATTAGTCTTGAGCCCTGCTTTTTAGCCTGCTCAAAACTGGTGTGACACAACAAATAAACATCGGCCATTGTCATCAGTGAATGTCATCTTATTTGCCAATAGGCCAATGGCAGTCAACAAGGCCAATATCAGCCAATGCTGCAGCATTTCAGTATGAGAACATATATGATTTAAACAATGGATATGATGGCTGAAGATGGAAAAAAGAAAAGTCTCTGAAAGAAACTTGAATTACTTTTTAAGTGGATGTTACTCTGTCATCAAAAACCCATGACCTGAATACTGCTGAAGTCAGATAGCAGGGATCCCACAATTATAAATGCAGACTCTATAAAGTCCGCACATTTCTGCCGTCCTGTCTTCACAGTGCATAGTATACATGTGTTTCAGTACTTTTGACTCGGTGGTCTGGATCACTCTGTCAAACTGTCATTTATTACCATCAGCTTGTAAAACTGATTGATCCAGCCTTGTTATGTCCTTACATAGTTCCCTCTGGTGTTAACGTCTTTTCTTCTGTCCATCTCACTTCTGTACTCCCTCACAATAACTGCCCTATTTCTTGCTTTGTGTCCTTATTCATCCTCTCCTCACTGTATTCATGTCTGAATGCTGAGCAGTCAGAGTTTCCTCTAGCTTTAGTCCTAAACCACACTCCCTACTGCACAGATCTCATGTCTGCATTCTTCTCCTGTGAGGTCTTCAGATCAGTCCCTCATGAGTGCTGTTTGACATGATAATCTATGCACACAGTTTTGTCTACATGAACATGACATATTGTCTATTTTGTTGCTGCGTGTGAATGTTTCTGGCCTTGGACCCGTCCCGTCTCACACAGGTCTGACATGCACTGCAGGCCTCATTGCGAGGATCTTTAGCCAGGAGACAGCTTCCTCCTTTGGGGAGGTCAGGGCCGAAGCTAGGTCAGGTCTGGGTAGGTGGAGATCTTGGCGCATCAAGTGGCCGACGTGGAATGTTTGAGCCGGTTGCCAGGCAAAGAGGAAGGTTTTGATTTACCATTGCGTCTTGCGAGCAGCTTGTCGCAATTAGTGATGTCAGGAGGGAAAGAAACAAATATGAAGCATTTCTTCAAAGGGCAAGCATATCCTTCCCATGAGTTCATTCTTTCCTTGGGTTTCTCAAGGAAAAAGGGGGCAAAAGTGCAGCCTATTTCTCAACGGTCAAATTAGGTTTTGCAGGCCTGGGTTCTTCCTGTTCTCAGCAGAGTGTCACATTTTGAGATGACTAAATGGGTTGCAATGTATCCAAACAGTGACACGGCATAAAGATGGTCACGGAAATATAGGTTTTCATGTTTATCCTATTAAAGTTCTGAACCATATCTGTTTACTGGATAAGATGGATAACCCGTAATGAAACTAGTGACACTCCTGAGCTGTGCCTCTGCTTTGTACCGTACGCCTATTTCCTTGATGAAACAGCATGACAGCTTTGTTTAACGCACTGCTTACATTTCATTTGCCTGCAGTATTTTAGATAATATTTCACAGAGCTCTAGTTTGCAAGCTCTGGCTGTGTTCTTCATGGTCTCAGCTAGCAGTGCCAAGTTTCCCCACTCTCCTCCTGGCTGTAGGTATCCCATGCAGAGGCCATCTGTCTCTCCTCCCATAATGGTAAGGGTGGAGTCCTCTTTAAGCACTTCCCCCCTTTCTCTCCCTCCTTTCCTACTTACTCCCAAATGCTTACTGTAAAACAAACAGAACATAGCATGGATGGAGTCTAGTTTCTTTGTATGCTTTGACAGGCCTGAAAGCTGACTCTCAGAGATCGAGAAACTACGAACGGTAGCAGTTGGGGTGTCGTGTCAGGTAGCTGCAGTATGTAGAGCATGTTAGGGAGAAGGCTGGGCGGAGACACGTGTCTGCATGCATCAATGCAATGTCACGCATGCCAAGCATGTTAGTTTACCACTCCAGGGGTGGGGGTTATCAGCGTGACTTTTATATTCTTCAAACAGTTATCGATATCTCTTTGCAAATGTTAATCTCACAGTCATGCTTTTATCATGGCAGTATAATTTTATTATATTTTTCCAAGCAAAAAAAAAGAGTTGCACTTGTAAGGTGACAACAAACAGCTGTTGTGTCAGCTCAGATGACCATGGAGTGCAGAATGTAAAACCCACATGGCTCTGACCCTGATTCTCCCTCACACCAGTGCACCCAGAGGACTCCGGCAGACGCAATGCAAACACAGGGTAGCACATGCACTGCAAAGCACATTATGGCAGTATGGGCTTTTTTTAGACCAGGTCACGATGCAAGGGTGGGAAAAAGATGTAAATGGATGCCAAAATTATAGTGGAGAAATGGAATAGTAGTCCAAAGTGACTTTCCCAAGTGTCTTTTCAAGTGAATGACAAATAAGGCAGGCTCAGTGAAACACATTAGTTTAATAAGAGCCTAAATATGGTGCAGAGCTATGCTACACTGGGAGCCCTACATTGATTGGGTCATGGACCCCCATGTGATCAGATTTTGCTTCAGGGAGCTCCATCTGAACAGATTTTTGTTGTTAGATATGATTAAGCACAGAATTCTATAGCTGTCAACTACAGTTGAGAAGATAACTGTAGAGGAGGTGAAACCTATAATCAGATTAGTCACTCGTATGACTCTTACTCACATTGGCCTCACTTCTATAGTGCATTAAATAATAAACATAAACTATTCCTCATTTTTCTGGGGACCCCCTGGAACTCCCTTAAGGAACCCTGGGGGTCCCCGGACCCCTAGTTGAGAACCACTGGTGTACACAGTAAGGCAAGAAACACATGGAAAATATTTTGGAAATGTGGGTCAGCAGAGGAAAAAAAACAAACAGGAAAGCCCAAGTATTATAGCACAACATGAAACTTCACAACACAATGCAACATACATTTAGGGCTCAGCAGCCATTCAGACAAAATGCCTGACTCTTACACACATGGGAAGAGATACACATTTGGAGAGAGAAACTGTGTGTGTGTGTGTGTGTGTGTGTAATCACTAAAATTACAGGGGACGTAATGGAGCACGGGGAGCCTGAGCCTCCTTTGGCTATATTCCTCACAAACCAAGATAGCATTGCTGTGGCTTACCGCTCACATTCATGCCAAAGACTCAAAATACCAGCCAGTGGACCACTTTTATAAGCTTTACTCCATACACATCCGAGACTACGTACAAAGTGGAAATTTATGGCTCCCAAATATAACTTACTCCGACTGCAACCGTGTCAAGCAAACTGAGGGGTACTGTTTGAATAGTATGAATGAAAACACGTTTTTACGTTTTATCTACAAAACAAATATTTCCACAAAGGTTTACTGTAGATCTGCTCTGTAATTCACTTTTGAATTTATATAGCCTCTTAAACGTTGAAGCAGTGTTTCTATCGATGACTTTGTGTCATTATGCTCACAAAAAATGGAGCCTTGGATGGATTTTTTTCCCCCCATTCAGGGCTGTAGCTATAACCTGTAATTTAGGATTTATTTCAGGTTAGGTTTGCAAGATATAGCATTCGTTCCCACTGAGTTGGTTGTTTTGTTTGTTGTTTTTTTTGCTACTTCCAGAAGCACGTCTATCAACTGTGACATGGAGATTACTGTCCGTACAGCTTGCACATCACGACACCGAATTACTCTCTCCAATGCTGATTTCTCAAAAATAAAGATTCAGGCATTTGTTATTATCACATGCTCATCTTGTCTTGACTTTCTTTTAGAAATTACACCGTTAAATGAATGTTCAACACCAAGTTTTCATGTTGCATTAGTTTACAATAACTTTAATTTAAAAAGAAAAATCCTGCAGTGGGCTTCGTGTCAAATTAAGGGCCTCGTAAAAAGAGGGCATAAACTATAAAATTGCTCCTTTTGTTTCATCTCCTTCCAGTGAATTTTTTTTTCTTTCCTGTTTTAAAGGTGCTCTGATGATTAGCAAGAGGGACAGTCTGAGTGTCCTGCGGTGAAAGTGTGTTGCTTATTAAGAGGCAAAGCAGAGCACTCAGAATAATCCAGATGAAGTCTGGTCTGTGTTTTTTTTAACACCAAGAAAGTCTGTCGATGATGAGTGAAGGGAGTGAATGCGTAATGATAGCGTGTAGAAAGCTAATCAAGACTGTAATTTTAATCTGGGCCTTATTGCTGGCACATCCCATCTACTGTACTTTCTAGAGCTGGATTTACAGACAGTTTTCTTCCACTGTTAGATACCAGAGAACAAAAACTATACTCTCACAATCCAGTGAAGTGACAGTGTCATGAGAAATGTATTTTTACGATTTAATTAAAGCTGCAGCGATGATGTGTTGCTTGTGTCTCTGAATCGTATCTCTCTTCTTTGTCTCTCAGCAGGTGTAAGCAGTAACCAGGTGGTTGTTCCTGAGAAAGTGAACGCAGTGCTGGGGAAGAACATCACACTGAGCTGCAGGATAGAGATGGGCTCCAATCTCAATCTCACACAGAGCTCCTGGGAACGTCGCCTTCCTTCAGGCACCATTACCTTGGCAGTGTTCAACCCCGAGTTTGGAACCTCCATTTCTCAAGACTACATCAAGCGCGTCTCGTTTGTTTCCCCCTCTATACGGGACGCCACCATCACCATCGAAGGAGCTAGCTTTGCAGATATCGGGTCCTACACTTGCAAAGTTGCAACGTTTCCTCTGGGCAACACACAAGCATCAACCTATGTTAATGTACTAGGTAAAGTAGAGCTCTCTTTTCCTTTCTCATTGTACTTAGTGCTTCTTCACACTGTTCTATAATCTCACTTTTAAAGCAGGACGTCATTGGTTGTGATTAAGCAAAGCTTCGGTGACCACCAAGTGTTTGCCCTGGAGGAACAAACTACTCCCTGAAGCTACCTAGCTTTTTAAATTACAACCTGGAGTGTGGACAGAGGATATTTAAATTTAAATCCCTACAGGAATCTGCAGTGCAGTGTCATTCACTGTGGAAAAACCTGCTATGTCAGGTTTAAATTAATCTCTCCATAAGGTCCTCCACAAGGCTACTTACATACAAATCATAAAGCATACATATTAATACTTGTGAGGAATATAGAGATTCCCTTCTCATGTAGCAACCATGTAAACAGCGTGCAGAAAGTCCAAACAGTCCCAACTTGATGCAACTAGTTGCATGCAACAACAAGTTAATTGCAGGGTGTGATGCGGAGTAACTCTCATGACATTCACTTGCATTTAACCGCGCTGCATGAAAAAGTTTCGAGTGTAGCACTGGTCTTGAGACAACAATGTGCAGCCATTTCCCTTGAGGCAGTGAGGATTGTTGTTAGTTGTCTTCACCCTTTGTCACTAATTATGAAATCATACCTCAGGCTGAGTAACTGGCATTTGTGACGTTCTCACAGGCATCGAGGAAGCAGATGACAAACTTGGCAGTCTGTAGTGTAGAAAATATATAATTAAAGATGATATACTTCAGGTTATCGGCACATTTAGTATCATAATTTTCTTTTTTTGTACTGAAAACCTCTGTTGGTACTGATAAATCTGCCTTTCCGTAATGACCTTAACAACCCCACAGTGTATAATAAATTATTAAAGAAATATACATCTCATCAAACACGTACTATATCAAGATATATTTATTTCTTGCTACTCATTACCATTTTCCTGTTTATCCAAATTATTGCATACACACACTGTATTGTCTTTGCACTGGTGTTAACCTGTATGTTCTACACTGTATGGGGCACATACAGTAACCCCCTCTCTGAGGATTATGACCATTGAACTTTCTCTGTGGTCAGCATATGTTTCAAGCCCTAAATTGGCGGTTGGATTGCACTCAGGCAGCGCTGAGAGTCGGAGATTGCACTGTAGGCAGTAGTTTCTCGTCTCACTCCAGAGACTGAGGGAGACTCTGATGACTAATGAGTGTTACATTAAGTGCTGCTGTGACAGCCACAGTGTCTGGGACCTCACAGAGTTCAGCTACACCTTGTTTTCCTCTCCACGCAGCTTCTCACACGCATTGGGTTTTTTATGGCTCATACAAACACATACATGCACACCCAAACACAAATACATGCCTAGGCCTTCTTTACAATTCTCATGTAATTAGGGTGTGATTATGGTGGAAATATATGTTCTTGGCAATTAGATACATGTCATGTGGGCATAGGGTGTTTATCCTAAAGAGCACACATCACAATTACAAGACCTAAAGTCAGCAGATTTAAGTTCCCAAGGCAGCAATGAAGACTGGCATCCTCATCTCTGCCTCCTTTTGGGTTGACTTGTGCCATTTTCACAAGAATGTTTTGAGACAGGAAGAAGTAGCTGCATCCCAAAATTTCTGGTTAACAAGTCAGCATTTGGACAATATATTGTTGAACTGGAGTTTATTAAAGGGGACCTATTATGCTTTCCTGTATTCTGTGTCTTAAATATAGTGTGACAGTGAAGGATGTTCGTAAATAACATGGCCAGAGTTTCAAGTAATGAGGTCAACATGTGTAAAAGTAATCCCTGTGAGCAAAAACCTCAGGTTTCCTACTGTTTTTAACACTATGTTTCCAGCAGTTGTTTCAACTCTGGCTACGGTATGACGTCATAGTGTGCCATATTTATTACAAAGCCTACCCCGCTAAATAAAGCTTCATGCTAAAGTCAGTGACACATGTAAACTCGATTGCCAATGTTGCTAATTCCCCCTTGTTTTTGAAACATATTGGTGATTTTTCATGGGAAAAAGTGCTTCTATTCATGGTGCAGTGATGGTGCAGAGACATATGCTGTGTCTCAAATCACATACTTCTGTACTTAGACTTAATATTTTGAGTGCATAAGTGGGTTCACACTGAGAAGTATGGAAAAAAAAGCAGTGCACTATGAGTACCCGGATGGTGCACTCAAAATGGTCAAAAAGTTGAGTGTGGAACTATGGACACTTCTCGCCCTCAATGGTCGCCATCTTGGCTACGTAGCGGAAGGGGAGGGACCACTTTTTAAACTGGAAATAGCGGCCGAGGACTGTGCGACCGTGAACGTTGCTGCATTGTACAAATACAAGTATCTTTTGCACTAAGCACCACTATACTGTTGTCGGGTATAAGCCAGCAGTATGTTTATTGGGTTAATTTAGCAGTCTGTAATGATTTGGTACCGCGAACGATAATGAGAATGCTAATGCTAGTTTGCTAACTAGCTAATTTGCGGTCGTCATTTCCGGTGAGTGTGCAACGGCCGTGTTTGGTTTGAGACAACACTACCCTGTTGAAATTCGCGCACTACGCCAACGAGTACATAGTGCACATAGTATACTACATAGAAGTGTACTAACGGAAGTATGTGATTTGAGACACACCAATAGAGATATGGTAGACCTGGACACGCCGACCAATCAGAGTAGACTGGGCTTTTTGGGAAGGGGGGCTAAAAAAACAGGCGATAAAACTGAGTAACTCAGACAGAGGGTGAATACAGGTGTTTCAGCTCAGATAGTGAGAGGAATTTTGTTTTTGACCATTAGAGCATGTGCACATGTTCTAGTGAAAACCTTAAATACAAGTATAAACCTGAAAATGAGCATAATAGGTCCTCGTTAACAAACTGTTTTAGATACAGAATATTGGTTTTATGGTGTATATTGTGTTTGTTTCAGTTTAAACTACTCAGCTCAAAGTTCCAAGTTTTGATCCATGTTTACGTTTTGAGGTTGAAAAGAAAGCACTTGACTTCATTTTCATTCCTTTCAAATGAACTAAACCAAAGCGATGAAAAGGCTCAAACCCATGAATAATAGATCTAAGTCACGACACACATTGTAATCATTAACAGGTGCAGCGGACATTGACTTACACTCTTGATGCGAACCTTGTCTTGTGTTTAATCATGAGACACTCAACACACAATATTTGCTTTGGCCCAACACTTTCTCGCTTTCCTTTTCACTGTGCGTCTACAGCTTCTCAGAGAAAAGGCCTCAGCATTTAAGGAACAGTTCAGCAGGAAGTGTGCTACAGTGCATTAGCCAAAAGTCTCCACCAATGAGCAAAAGGAAGGAACCAGAGAAGGAAAATATGACACGTCAAGTGAATGAATTAGATCGACCCTTTGTGTGAACGTGCTGACAGGTGAATGGGAAAACTAATGAACAGCCATTGACTTTCTTAAACATGCACATGCATTCAGTTGGCGAGGGAGATTTTATCAATAAGCATTTGAGCTTTGTCTTTCAACCACGAACTGCATTCTCTTTTGTTTGAAGTTGTCTGTTCGTTGATGTGGCAAATAATGCAAGTTCTTTTTTGCTGAGTCACAAAATTGAGGAATCAGCCCCACAGAGAGATGGTTAAAGACGCTTACTCACCAAAGCCAAAATCTGAGGAGGGTCATAGATTTTTTTTTTTTTTTTTTTTTTTTTTTTTTTGTGGTGAGAAATGTTTCGTTTCTTCTTTTTGTTTATTCAAATAATGCTGGACTTCCCCTTCAGTTTCTGTGAAGTGTCATTTTTTGCTTGCATGTTGCTGTATGTCTCATGTTTTATCTTTTCTTGTTCTGGTAACTATCAACCTTTTGCATCACAGCTTCCAAAATCTAAAACAAAAAAGATGGCTGATTATTTTAGATCTGCTATAGATCATCATACCAAACAGTAAAAATGTGAAATTAGAGGTTTTGATGATGAATCTTTACAGTAAAAGTGTCCACATGTGATGCATGGCCATTGGACATCCAGTCAAATCCCCTTTTTCTAGGGGTTTCCGCTGTGACGTCAGTGTTCAGTGTGCATATGTGGATCAGTGTGTACGTGGGCGGGAAAGGGCCAATGCAGCCAGTTTGCTGAAGGGAAATCGTTACCCTTTCCCCTAAAGCATTTCCACTCATCCAAAGCGTTTCCCTCCCTTCCTGACAGCAACTCCAAATTAACACGTCTCTCTGATTTAGTAATTCTGAAGCTTCGGCCAGCTTGCCTTTTAACATAGAGCAGCTACTGTTTATAGTCAGAACCCTGTAAGGAGGGGCCGGGGGAAGCAAATGAAGAATGTGAGGTGGACGACCGAGAGCGATGTCCCCGCCCCTGCTCCGGGTACAGGAGACGCCAGGTTATTTTTGGAAAAGCAGGGTGCCGAGAGTTATTTGAATTTGTTGTCGGACCTCCTGCCTGGCCGGAGGAGTGGGGTGGCAGATGTCTTAAAGGTGATGGCCTTGTCTTGTGGATTAAGCTGGTGTGTGCCCCCATGTGTCTCTTAAAACGGTCACCGTCGCAGTAAGTGGAACAGCTGTTCTTTGAGGAAGGACAGAGATGGAGGAGACGGTGCACCGCAAGAGAAAGAAGAAATTTATGTAAGAGGGAAATTCCAGTGATGGTACATAGAGGTATAACCTGTGTAGCCAGTTTACTTCACCACCCCTCCATTGTGTTCTCCCCTCCCTCAACAGACCATCTTCTGTAATTCATCCGTCCCTTTTCCTCTTTTGTCTTGCTGAACTTTGCAGCATAATCACAAAGTGTCATCTCTGACACTTTGTGATTATTAAACAGAGCCCTGTGTGTCTTTTTTTAGGCCAGCACAGCAGTAGATAAACAGTTTTACTGCTTTGCACAACAGGTAGAGGGGTGGTGTTATTCTGGTCACGTCCCTCTTGCATGGATCTGTTTTGCCTCTCTGTTGAGAAAATCCTTGTTCAGTCTAAACCTGCAGTTATTCTCAGGAAGCCGGTATAACGTTACTCAAAGTGCTGAGAAGTGTACAGTAACTTAGCTCCTCATCTTTCAGTACAACAGAGTCAAATACAAACACACCACAGTGTCGACTGTCAGTAGCCTCTGATTCTGCAATATGAAGTGTTTTTCCCCAAAGTCATACACAGACGTCAGGCTGTGGTAGAACCATACAGTTGGACCATTAGACTCCAACAATAAAGACAGCTCAGTCTCTGAAATGCCTCCATATGATTTAATAGCATGCTTAATCAATTTTTAATGCATATATGTGAAATGGAAGAAGTCAATTTGCTCTCTCTGGCAGTTAAGTATACTAAGGCCACTTCCCTCTGTCCATATATTACATGATGGACATTATTTATTCATATACATACACAAAAAGATCAATATTCATTTTGTAATCTTTTCTCCATTCTGTCATTTCCTCTCCTCCCTCCTTCTCTCCCTCCTCTTCGCACTCTTCATCACAGTGGAGCCAAAAGTCTACGTGTCCGCCGGCCCCACAGCTCTGCTGGATGGAGGCAACGAGTCACTGGTGGCCACCTGCATAGCAGAGCGTGGCCGTCCTGCTGCTGAGGTTTTCTGGGAGACGGAGCTGTATGGAAGAAGTGAGAGGCTAAGTCACGATGAGCTCAACGGCACCACCACCGTACACGTGCGCTACATGTGGCAACCGCAGAGCTACGCCCAGGGGAAGACGCTCACCTGTGTGGTGCGCCACCCGGCCCTGCAAACGGAATTCCGCATACCCTATACACTAAATGTTCAGTGTAAGTGCAACATAAAACGCTTCCTTGATTCCTGTGCTGTTTTTTTATTTACACTTGATAAGATAAGTCAGGTGATATTATTCTTATCATGAAATCCCAAAACCAACAATGAACTGATCCCACTACTTCAACTAAATATTGCCTGTGTAGCCACAGCCTGATGGAGCTTACTCCTTTGTGCCATGGACCTCCACTGTCCAAAAACTAGTGACTTGCAACATTGTTAAAGGGATAGTTCAGACTTTCTGAAGTGGGACTGTATGAAGTGCTTAGTCAGTAGATGGTGATCAGTTCGCTCCCAGTTTGGAGAAGCAGGCAGGAGTGCCACTACAGAAACTAAAGCATATTAAAAAAAGCCACTTAAAAAAATCAATATCAGTCTAAGTGGATGCTATGTTTAGAATATTTTAGCTCCTGTACCTCCCCATCAGACAACCTTTTCTTTGGCGCTACATTTCCTCAGCTGTTGAACTTAAGTATCCCTATGTAAAAATCCAACTGTGCCGTGCACCACAGGTTCGAGTTTCTGTTCGGGTCAGAAAGAGCTGCTGCGCGATCAGACAGAAACAAAACTTCACTTTTACTTCACTTTCCTAAGTATTTCAAAGATGGCGCATGCTTGTGTTTTTCCTGGCTGATCAAACAGGACCATTTATTTTCCTTCTGCAAAGTTCATCTTCTCTGTACTCTGGTTCATGGAGGTATCCCTTTGTCTCCACAGTGAATGACATTTTGTTGTTGCTGTCATAATCACTCTGTTTTTATAAATAAAATTTCTTGCATTTATTGTCTCTTCCACAAACCGCTAAAAGTCTGACCCAAACAAAAAAGAACACTTAACAGTGCTGCAAGTCCATCGGAGACAGAAAATACAGTTGCAGTTTTGGACTCAGAACCTGGACAACAAAGATGTGCATGTGTACACCGATTTTCCAAATACACACCAGTGAGCAGCATCATTGCACTGGGTAATGACGAACATAGGCACTGTAGTGTACTTTGAGTCAATCCCACATTCTGCATCCTGCTGCTGTAAATACTGACCAGCTCACTAAATCCAAGGTCCCCAACAAATGAGCTATTTACACCTGTTTCAGTAATGTTTGCTAAAATCTACAATAACAAAAATATAGAATATCTGCAGCTGTCAGTTATTCCTCAGACTGCTCAAAGAGACATAAATGAAACCAAATTTTAGTGTGAGTGGTTTTGTGGCATCATCCTTTTACCATCTTTTACCCGCTACACCAGATTGCTTCTGATCATGCTGCTCCCCACATTGGGTCAAGTGAAGCACTACAACTGCCCAATTAATTGTGTAAGATTATGCATTTATTGAACTTTTAGTTATTGTCATCAATAAGATAAATTGTTCCTGAAATCACCGATGAATGTTCTATGAAAGTAATGATTATTATAGCTCCAGTTGTGCAGCCCTAACAGGTACAGTGCATCTTATCGATATTAACCCATGCTGATAGCCTGATTTATGAATAGCCCGCTCAGTACCTTTCCTCCTTCGCCCATAAAGGGGCCATTTAAGAGTCATCTTAATGCTATAATCATTGATGCATACTTCCTTGGCGAGCAGTACTAAGGGTTAGTCTGTGTTTGGACCATGTGAGTGTAGGCTAATGAAGGTATTTTATGAAATATTGATCAGGCCTCAGCAGCAACACAAGAAGCAGGGGGCTACTGGGGGACAGCGCGTGGAGACGCAGTAAAAAACAAGGTTAATACAGGAAGAAAGAGGCTTCCCAGCTCTATAAATCATGTCAAATGCAGAGGCAAGGGATTTTAAGTGCAAAACAAGCACAATTTCAACGTGGAGCAGCGTGAAAAGGGTCAGTGGACACGATGAGCCGAGGCATCTAACTGTGCGCTGTAATGAGTTCCTCATTTGTCCTCGAGAGAAATCAAAATGAAATATTGGATATCTAAGTCAGTGTTTGCCATGTGTTATTACAGTGGCATGTGTCTGCTTTCATTTAGGCATCCTCCTGCTTTCCTTTGTTTTGTTTTTTCTTCTTTGTCATGGTGAGGCAGTAGAGTTTATTATTAGCTGCACTACATCTACTGTCGGAGTGAGTCTGTCATTTTCTAACTTTCCACCAACCCAGGGTCATTTGTTCGCTCTCTTGGCTCTCGTTCACCGGCAGATCCTGTACCCTGCTACAGTCCTGCACAGGCTTTGTTTTTGTCATCGCTCCGCTACTGTGCTTATAATGCACACTTTGTTCCTTCTGGAAAAGCTCATTTGTCATCAGGCTGCTGGGATCACAATGACTGATTATTGAGTGCTAGTCTTTTACACTATGAAGTAAAACTAAAGTACAGTTTGGTCAGCATGACCTAACAAAAAACACTGCTGTAATAAAAAATACATTGTAAAAAAAAATGAGTTTTTAGTAAATAATACACATTTTTTAAATCATAACCATTTGTTTTATTTTGTTTTACAGTTGCACCAATGGTATCAATAATCGGAATCGACAAAAATTGGTATGTGGGTCAGGAGAATGTGAGGTTCACCTGTGGCGCCAAAGCCAACCCACCTGCCCGTCGCTTCACATGGACCAGGTCAGTATCCCAAAAAACTTGCGTACCTTTGGAGCAGAAATACACATTTTGTCCAGAGTCTCAGCAGCTGATTGTGTTCTTCTAAGGGTCCGGTTATGCAGCATTAGGCAAACTGCCCCTTGCATCTTAGCTATACACATCGAAATTCGGACTTCGGGGGTCACTCAGATGATGCTACATCCTAATTCAGGGGCCTTCAGAGAGTCTCAGGTACTGTCTGGCGTTGCTGTCCTCCCCTGAAAGTCCGTTGTTCAAGACAGAGTATGTCAGAACAGGTTGACATCTTCTGTTAAATTTTCTTTAATGTGGCAGCCATCTCTGACCCAAATTCAGGGGATACATCACTTAAATCTAATCAGTTGTTATAATGTGCAGTCCTTGCCAACTCATAAACTTGGAAAAACGTCTGATACTTGTTGTCAGGTTGTCAGCAGCTCATGTCAAAAAAGACATTGTAGAATGTGAATAATGGAAACCAGGTGTAAACTTGTTTTAGTCTGGACAAATTAAAAGTTTATCATGTGTTCAAGTAAAATCCCCCTCACACAGTTTACTGGGTTATAATGAAACTTAAATGAGTTTTTATCACTAGTATTTAGTTATAAGGAGTCTTTTTCTGTTTGATTGTTGTTTTGTGGATCACCAGTTTAATGACAAACAGACAAAAGCCACTTGTTTGTAGAGTAACTAATGTTATAGCCAACATGGGTGAAACATCAGCTGCTGTGTGGTCCAGTTGTGATAAACTAAACTGGGCTCAAACAAACTTAAAATTAAGGGTTGAAACGAAGAAGCTTCTGTCTATAAATTACCTCCAGCTTGACTTTTGGAGCCCGGACACTGGAGCTGTCAATTGCACTGCTGCACCCGTCGGGAAGACTCCCTGCTATAAATAAAAGATTCCAAATGGTTCATGCATCAGAGCAACACTGGCCTATTGGCAGCTCTTTGTCATCATCTTGCTTTGAAAACAAGAAATATGGTCTCATGTGAACTGACAGTACCAGAAAAGTCTAGACAGCCAAGCTCTTTATTTTCTTTTCTTTTTTTGCTCTGACTTTGAAACCTTGTGTTGCTATGAAAGAGCTTTCCTCCCTCATCTGATGGAAGTGCAGTCAGCTCAAATTATCGTAGTCATGTGATCATGTAATAGCTGCAACAGGCCTACGAGTGAGAGTCAACACAACCAGCAGAACAGTGACATCACTGCAGCAGCAACATAATGTGTTTCTTTGAGTCTGTGTGTATGATTTACTGTACACTGTGAGATTTATGTAATGTTTCATATCTGCACAGGTTGGATGGATCGATGCCCGAGGGTGTTGAGATATCAAACAATAGCTTTGCTTTCAATCGGCCGTTGGATCGCAATGACTCTGGAGTGTACCGCTGTGAAGTGCTAAACGATATCGGTCTCCGCAGTCAAGATGTAAACCTCTGGGTACAAGGTATATTTTGACTTCTTTACTCAATTTCTAAAGTGCTATTGAATTCTTTCATGTGCTTATTTAGATAAATTACATATAACACCCCAGGTTAAAAAGAGAGAGCAATCTGTGCCTTTTGACATTCATCGTGCCCCTCTCTGATGTAAGATTACCTTCTCAGTGCGATCGGCCCTCAGTTCAACACTTCTAGCAGAGCTAAGCCTCCATATAAATGTCCCTGCCCAGATCCACTTTCACACATTCCTGGCAACAGAGGAGCACGGATAAAGAGTATCAGTACCAAACGTTTCCACTGTTGTGGTTTTGGCAACATTAGATTTCTCAGATAAGGTAGAGGGTGTTTACCCCTGCTGGTTCAGCAAAGTATGCACCCATGTAGCCTTTGTCTTTGTTTTGTTTAAGGTCAGGTTTCACAGCGGGACGTAGTAGATTGTGTTCACAGATTTGCAGTACACAGAAGTAGGTGTGTGGTTGTTATTTAACAGTGTATTGTTTTTTTAAAGTTGTGTGAAATGTGATTATTTCAGTGCTTAATAGATTAAAACTAATATGCAGAAGGGACTTCCCCTGATCATCGAAAGGGGATTCCCTGCATTTGGATTTGTTAGTGCTGTTGATTCACAGGCATAAATCCTTGTTAGAAAACTCGTAGGTTATTTAACTACTCCCGTCTGCTTCCTCTGTCTGTCCATGGTTTGCTACTTGAGTTCTTTATTGTAAAGTCAGGGTGTGGATCCTGAGAACTCTGCATCTCTTTTTGTTTTCATTTCTCCTCTGCTGCTTTTAATCCTTTTCCAAACAAAGCAACTGCTGCTTTTGGACACGAACTCCGCTAACACACACAATCCCTTTCGTTTCTCACTGTCGAGAGGAAAAGAGCTGGAGGAGCCCCAAAAAAGGCTGTCAGGCTCCATCTGTGTACAGGCCTGGTTTGGAGTCCCGCTCCAAACGAAAGCGCAGCTGACATCCTGTCCAGGATGGACTTGCACCGAGCAATTATCTTGCTTCTCTTGTCAAATAGTAAGACTTGGGCATGCGGCCTCTCACTTCCATCCCCTGTGGAGATAGCCAGGTTGAGCTCAGCTATATTCCCTCCCCCCTCCGTGGCTGCTCGGTGTAGCTGTTTCACATTCCCAGTTGTCTGTGCAGCCTTGTGGTTTTTGGCTGCTCGTCCCTCAGATGATCAGCTACATGGTTGCAGATGCTCATAACCCTACATGAGTTTAAAATGTCGCGCTGCAGGGTGGGATTGATAGTGACTGACGATTGCCAGTATATCAGTTCACTGACCTTGAGCCGTCTCTATTATCCTCTCTCATGCTTTCACTTTAGCCCCGATCCTTCAGGCTCACACACAGTGTATAATTGCAGGTAATTAGAGTCTTACTCAGTTACACAAATTGTGGAAATCATTACAGCTCCACAGGGAATCCGGTTTTGATAACTAGTACCTAAAAACCTCCCGGAGATGCAGACCTCTATTAGAGCTAGTCATTTTGCTTTGTAGTCAGGCTTTTGATGTTCCTGTGCTGAGATCGACTCGTGGTATCAGGCTGCTCTTAGCCCCAGAGGCTGGAGGTCAGAATGGAGACACTTATCCTGACCTTGAGCTCCACACAGCCCGTTCCTCTCCAGCTCTGGCTGCTATCACAAACGCCGGCCACCGGAGGACAAATCACATGCAGGAGCCTCACATCGATCACACAGCGTTTCATCTTCTCACATGACTTCCCCACAGCAGGGCTTGGAAAGAAAGGGGGAGAGCCAATCACGCTCACTCAGATGCTCATGAGTGCATGTCCTCTGTCCTCCTATCCCTTGCTGTCTCTCTCTCGTGCACACACACACAGTGACAGTCAGCATTTAACCTCTCTCTGCCCCTCTCATTTCCTCCTTTTTGCTCCACAGCGCAGCTTTCAACAGATTCTTTAGTCTCAGGAGAGGCATGTCTCTACTCCAACACTGCACAGTGTTGCTATAAATTAATCTAAGAACCATTCACACTTGCTCGCCAATCGTTACAGAACATAAAGTGTGGTCTTTCCTCTCTTTATTTTTATGACTCCTCACTCAATCTGCTGTCCTTCTTCTCTGTTTAAATCTTTTCATCACATGTTCTCTCCGCAGATCCTCCCCCCACCACGGCAGCCCCCAGCACCACCGCATCTCTCCTCCATGACACCTCCGGAACCGGCACTGCTGTCGACCAGCGGAGAGCCCTGTTCACCTCCCCGACCCTGGCCTCCTTACCTGACAGCAGCCTGGGCACAATTGTCGGAGGGGCTGTAGGTGGAGTGTTATTCCTGATTCTCTTGCTGATCCTTGGCGGCGCCTGCTTCATGCGACAGCGCCGGACCTTCAGAGGAGACTACTACACCAAACAGTACCTGGGACCCTCCGACATGCAGAAGGAATCTCAGCTGGACGTGCTGCAGCCGCATGAGCTACAGGAAGTCTACGGGGACAAGACGAGCAAAGGCAGCCAGGAGTTGAAACCCAAACTGGGTGGAGACATCATTTACCCGGACTACACCCCTGACCACAAGGATAGGGATGACTGGGCCGACAGGGGGGATGGCCACAGGGGTCACAAGGAGGGAAACTACTACCCAGATCACTACAACACCCAAAACATGCACCCCTGCGGGCCTCCTGTGCACAGCCCCATAGTGAACAACGGCTCCCCCTATCTCCCGGATGACTGCTATGACAATGGCACAGACAGCGACTATGTGTCCCACATGGACGGATCTGTGATCTCACGCAGGGAGTGGTACGTTTGAGGAAACGAGTGAAGGAAAAAAAACGGACAAATGACTGACTGAGACTGATTTCACACGTGGCAGATATAAATATCATTAAAGGTGTCATTTCAGTTAAAGGATGAGTACAACTTCTCCACTCAGTTTCACAATGAGCTCTTTGAACAATACTGCTCTGCCTTGATTGTAACCACTTAACCTTAAGGACGTGTATGTGGATTGTATTACACATTTGTAGCATTTCAAGGAGCTACAAATAAGCTGGAACAGTGATACTATCTGTGTGGGCTTAAGAGGCTTTGGCATACAGTGACGTTTCGACTGATGTGAATGAGGTTTTCTATTCTGCTTGTTTGTGTTTGCACCTGTCTTTAACACAGGTCACAGGGCAGGTGTTGAAACCCTTGTTAGTGAAGTATTTATATCCCCGACTGACTGAGCTCTGCTCCCGTAAAACCTCGCAACTTCTGTGGCATTTTCAAAACGGTCCCATGATTGCTTACGGCGTTTTCATACCGATGAGATGTTTATCATGGCTGCAACCAGTATTTAAGGCAAATTATAATGCATGCTTTCTTAAAAAAACAAGATGTATCATCAAGTTAAAGGGAAGGTTCACTAAGCACTCATGATTAAAGGGAGAATTGCATTGTTTTGAGGGAAAAGCTAACTGACATTACAAAGAAAACCCCCGGTAAACCTTTAGTTAAGTTCTTCAGTGGCTTTAAAAAACTCTCAGTATCTTATGTAAATTATTCATGAAATGGTAACCCTGAAAGCTGAGACAGAGTGGCCACTCCCTGTGGAAGTATTTTTACTTTCAGCTCCAATTCAGCTTATTTATTTTAAAGATATCTACACTCTTAAAGTTGTAATCCTTAAGATTTCTTTCCTGGTTGATTGGTGACACCCGTGGTTACAGTTGTAAGAGGAAGTGTGATATAATACTGCAGCAAACACACAAAAGAAGCAACTTGTGTATCTGTTTACAGTGCAGCCAGACAAACTGATGCTTTAACAAAGATGTCAATCAGTAATACTTGCAGCTGATGTGCATCTTGTCACCTGCAGATGCGTGGCTGTTCCTTTTTGTTCACTTACTTGCTTGTGTAAAGTAAGAATGAGTCACTAACCAAAAAAAAGCCAGGAATGTCTGGTCAACTGATGAGCTGGTGAGCTCAGCTCTAACCACAGTGACAAATACTTAATGTTTCCCCGTTGGTGCTTTCACAATAAAAGCCACCTGGTGTCTTGCCAGCTGAATACTTTTAATGTGAAACAGCAGCAGTTGAAAACAGCAGTAACTTATTGCAGCTCTGACTCAGTGTAAGAAGAATGCGACACAGAGACTGATAACAATAACATAAAACTGTAAAAACTGTACACATTGTTTCCTCTGAATCCATCTTGTTTAGGATGGCAGCCTAGTGTGGGAACGGGACTCTGCCACTACCAGTAATAACTACATATTGCTTCAAATTTGACAACACAAACACACTAAATATATTTATATATAATATAATTTATATTATAGTTTCCTTGGTAGCTGACAGGAAGTAAACAGGAACCAAAGCTGTTGCCCTAGCAACGAAACAGCAATGAAACAGTAGAGATATAATTACTGCTGAAAAATTACCAATATAAAAAGTATTACACATCAGGTTTGATTTAATGAAAGTCTCAAGGATCAGAACTTAAACCAAATGCACTGTTATCATTACTGAAATGTGTTAATACAGTCACTTTCTTGCAGTGAAAAAGCACAACTCCATTATTACAGTTGTCAGTGAACATCAAAGGAGGCCTACCAGGCTTCAGCCCCTTCCACTTAGCCATGATAACAGGCTGCCTCGCTGTCTGTCTCATTTTCCCTCCTCTGTATCCTCTGATTTCTGTCTGCACACAAACACCAATTGGTCATTATAGTTTTTATTTTAAACATGGGATCAAAGCAATGAGATATAAATACCAGATGCGACTATCACAGCTGTCATCATCCGACATTATGCGGCTCCATAAACCACCAACAGTTTCACTGCTCCCGCTCGACACTCCAGGGTCGTGATTCACGATGGTGAAAGCAAAATACTTGTTGAAAAAAAAAAAAAGAAAAGGGGGGGGGTGTCAGAGAGCTCAGAAAAAGGAGCACTAATAAAGTGATCCTTCAGCTTTAGTTTGTACGCGTTTGAAGTATGATTGCGCGAATACCTCACAGCACAGTTGGAAACATTGTGAGCGGCTGACATCACTACTGATCACAGAACAGGCTATAATGTTGGGGTTTGGCTCCTCCGGAGCTCCTCTGAGGATCTACAGCGATCATGGAAACTAGAAATTTAATCCATGAGTGAAAAAATTGGTTTAAGAACCATCTAGGTTAGAGCTGTCTGTACAATGGCTCCCAAAAGGATATGTATCTTTTTTTCTTTTCCTACAAACAACAAACCCAGTGACACTTATTCAAAACAAAAGAGTTGACATCATGAATGATCTCATCTCTCACGGCTTGATTTGACCTTACACTTTTCCACTTAGTGCTCCCCCTTTTTTTTGTTTCCTCAGGATTGATACATGGATCAAAGTGGCCTCACATGAAAGGGAAAACATAACCCTTTTTGGAAAGATCCCTGTTTAGTCAATCAGGGTGTTTGTTGCTCGAAGACGGAGCCATGTATGTGTGTTACAGTCAGGTCAGCACGAGGGGTGGGGGTACACTTTGAGGTCTCTTTCTTTCTTATTGGGGTTTTATAGATTGTGGGTGCGTTTTTGTTTTTTTTTTTTAACCCTTCTCCACCCTGCTTTTCCCATGCCAAGACTTTGGTCGAAAGGTTTAGATGTCTGAAAATAATCTCGCTCTCACTCTCATCGTCGCACACACACGCACCCAGCCGCCACACATCTGCCACTGCAGCCCACATTGGAGGAGCAGTCCTCACCTCAAACCTTCAGCTTTTTAATTAACTTTCCTTTTTTTTTTTTTCCTCATCGCACTTGGCAATGAAAGTGCTCAAAGTTGCTGATATATAGCACATCTGTGTCTGCATGCACACATTTTTTTTAATTTTTTTTTTTACATATATACAAGGCTGATTTGTAGCTGCCAACTTGTTTCTTATTAGTCACTCCATGCAAACTGCTGTCTCTGCTCTAAAACTGATCTCTCAGTCTCTGTTTCATCTCTAAAGGACTGAGCTGAAGTGATGAATGTTTTTGTAAAGTTCTTTTGGATCGCTCACCAACTGGTTGCATGTAAATTAAGTTATTCGCTTCCTACAACTTTCCTTATTTCTCATCACTAATGTTTATATACATGTACATAATGCTAATAGGTTAGCATAGGATTAGCTGTTCTCTCAGTTTGATTTTTTATGCTCATGTACAGTTTGTTCTGGACTCCCCTACTGAATAGTTGGTGCCTTAGACGGGCTGAGCAATGCACAGAAACTTTGAAAAATGACAAGCGTTAATATAAAGGATATTAATATCGTTAAAGAGGAGGACTGACTGGTCCCTTAATATGTCTTCCATCTTGATATTTAACATTTGCTGTTATCAAAAGGTCGGAGTAGACAAAAGGTTGATTGTCATGCCTTATTCACTTTGAGAGGACACATGTAACAAGTTAGTTACTGAGAAAATTGTAATAAGTAAAGTTTCACTGGGAATTTAGGCAAGCCAGATTCATAGAAAATATTGTTGTCCTGTAAATATGCTGGCTGTTTTTTTTTTTATTATTATTGAAAAAAAAAATCTTATTTTTTTTGTATGAGGTCTGTAATTTTCACAGAGTATTACTTTATCTTACGTGCGTTCGAGGAGCTCTCGTCTCATGATAACGTCGAGGGCGAGCCTGTTTTCACTGCATTTTATATTTGTTCACGAGAGTTTCAGACCCATTATTTTGTATGTTGTTGTTTGAATGATTGATGTCTCACAGGAATCAGAGATGAAAGTGTGGTAGATTGTATTTTGTTCCTTTGTTTGCAATAAAAGACCATGATTATTGCACTCGTATTTGTCCGGGGATTCTGCTTTCAGAGAGCGAGATTTTTATTTTGCTTTATTAAGTTCTTTAACTTGCATCAGATTCTTTTTTCTTTTGATGAGTATTGTGTTAATTTAATATTTAGATTGCCCATAACCATTTAAAGCTTTACAGATAGATACAGGTATGATGGCAGACAAGGGCCATTGAGTTACAACAGCCCGTAACATTTCCATTTGGAGAAACCTGCCTCAGCTTCAGAAATGATGGCAATTCTAAAACATATGAATGCAAAACAAATGCAACAGAAACATGCTGATAATGAAAACACATGCTGCAGAAAGCTAAAAAATACATTTACAGCAAAATGCTGCAAATACAGAAAGGAGGCATTCAAAGCCAACAAAAAACCCACTACAGATTTACAGGCTTGCATTAGCAACATAAATCTGTTGGTGTTTTATCACATTGTAAAACTCTAAGGCCAAATATAAAGAAGAATACATAACTTTTTATGTTGCCACTTTATTTCAATTTTCTTACTGTTTCAAAAACAGAACAGATGCTCTCGTCTGGTTTCTCTCTCTGTCGGGTCGAAAGTCCAGCTGTTCATCTAAGCGCTCCCCCTAGAGCAGTGGTTCCCAACTGGTGGGTCGCGTTCCAAAAGTGGGTTGTGGGTCCATTCTGAATGGGCTGCAAGTGACTCACGAATGTGTCAAGTTTGTACAAACTGCACTTTATTTTGAAGTATGGTGAATTTCCAGCTGTAAAATGAGTGAGGGATATTGAATTTTGGCCAGTATCATGCTAAATATAATGAACTAAGTGGACCTTGAACTAATGACTAATGAAGAATCTTGCCCCTGTTGCTGGATCAGTTGGGAACTACTGCCCCAGAAGACCAGAGAACTTTGGTTGGGTTGACGCTGTGTCTGCAGCGTCTTTCTGTTGCATTTGATTGTTGTTGTTTTTTTTGTTTGCAGCATGTTTTGGATTTTTGTATGTGCTTTTGAAATGGAATAGTTTCTCAGGCCTTGATCAGACAGAGCACGTTTTGCAGGTTGCAGAATGCGAAGATCACAGCACTGCCTTTTGTTGACGCCTGCTACAATCCAACAGAGAGTTGTTTGCAGCTTGCTACGTCTTTTTTTAATTATTATTTCTGGGCAACCACTAAATCATCTGTCCTTAGCTTATTTCTGTACCTTAAAATCTGCATAATAATGGACATACAGAGGGCACTTTGGGGCTGAAAACAGGGAAACAGAGATCCATGTGGGTACGTGAGACCCTCGGAGAGAGGAGAAATTACAAGGAGTACTAAGAGCTGGTCCAGGAGCTTCGCCTGGATAATGGTCAGTTCAAGGCATTTTAGGATAAATTTGTGGGACAGTCTGCTGTCAGCCCTAATTACTGTTGGTAAAACATAAGTGGTTAAGGCAACAATTTGTTCAGATTTGTCTTGCAGCTCGCCTAGGGGGACAATAAAAGAACCCTAATGTTTGCGTGACACAAGCCATGTACGCTGCTACTTGTTGTTAACGCTACTATAGTACAGAAGGCCCACCTCTCATTTCATCTGACTGGACAATGGGGAAAAAAAGAAAGACGTCAGGCACTTCTTCCACTGTCAGTTGAGGTGTTTTCAACTTGAGCCGATCAGGGTGCTCCTGCAAGAACACGAGGTGCATAGACCAGAAATATGCAGGGTGTTCTGCAAAATCAGCAAGCAAAAGGCTTCACTCTTTTTGAAAACGACTACAAAAAGCTGCTAAAATGCGCGCTGTTTGATTGGAGCCTTAATCTGCAACACGTTTATCTTAATGGAAATGTTTGGGGCTGTTGTAGTGCATTTGCCCCTGGGGGGGGGGGACTAAATTACAGAAGTTAGTTTAGTTTTGTTTTGTTTTTCTGTCTTTCAGTCAGTGTTGTTGAGAGTCTTCATGTTCCTCCTTTACCAGTTTCCTGTTTCCACATTACTTAAGTGTGTAATAATTGCAAAGTATTCAATGGCACAACTGAGAAGTGAAGTTTATTCTTGGCCTTGATGGATGACAAAACAGTCTTACTACAAGTCCAATTAGTACCAGTTTGCAGGATGTGCCAGCTTTACCACTACTCTGCCATTCACCAAGTTTTTAAGATGACACATGGCAACTTACAGAGCTACAGAAAAGATCCTTTTTCTCCCCTATATGAGGTAAAGATGTTTCAGCCTCTCAGGCCAGGGGCCATCAGTCTCTGTCACCTTCAGCCTCTTCCACTGTCCACACCTGTGATAGTAACTAACTGACCCATTTCACACAGCTCTCCATCCTGTCTAACTCAGCACCCTCTTCATCACCGGTTCACAGAGTGAAACGAGTGAGGCTGCTCGGGTTTTTTATCACGCCTGCATTGACCGGACGGCTGCTGACCACCCACAACTCCCTCCTGTCACCCATCAGCCCCAAGAGTAAGATGTGTCTTTTTGAATATTGTGAACTTATCACACTGAAATTATGCCCTCAAAACACTGACACAGGAATTCACAATGGCATCCCTAATCCGAGTCCTCCCACTCTAAGTGCCTGCGTTTAATCCCCAGTGTTAACCTGGCTTTGGAGGTGACACCAACACTATCAATGCGTGTTGTTTAGCACAGTGACAATCGCCCCCTCTGGTCCAGATTAAGAGCAGGAGGAGAAACCAGATACTTAATCCTCTGTGGCATGTTGGACAGAAATCTCCCTTCTTGGACTTCACTTTCATCACTTTAGTGTCCACGTTGCCTCGGCCCAAAAGCACTCACTCTATTATCATGGCGTTGCCTGACTGGGATAACCCCAGCCTAATCCATCACTGCTACCATCTGCATGTTTGTGCAGGCAGCGGGGGTAAATAACGCCGTGTTGGTGGGCTTAGGTTACGTCTCCTTTTTGCCTTTCTTAACTTTTTGGCAGATGGCTGTGAGGGGCATTTTTTCACACTTAATGAATCCGTCAGCAAATGTGTTTAGTTTTGTTACCTCGTAAAACAGCAGCGGGTCCTTTCAACATTCTTTAAGACCCCACCCAAACATGTTAAAGTCAGGATGGGTTTCTGCATCAAACTCTAACCTTTGGAAAGTATTCTTGTAAAAGTGCTGGTTTTCTTCTTCACTCCCAGTGTACTGCCGGTGTTGTTTTCTTTGTTACCTTTCATGATTTATTAATTCACACTGAAGAAAAGAGAGGTGGCCACTTCTATTTTGTGCTCCTACCCTCCTCCTCCTCCTCCTCCTCCTCCTCTCCAAAAACACTGATTGTTAGCTAATGAACACGAACACATCACCGGGGAGCTCACTTCAAAGGCCACAGCTGACTGAGCTGAACAGACAAATTGTTTGAGCTCATGGGTTTGGAAATAATGAAATGCTGCAGAGGGTGGGAGAGTGCGGAGCAGTTACAACAAAAATGTTGTCACATGGCCTGCGGTCCTCCTGGCCCTCGTCTCGGTGTGAAGTGTGTGAGGCTTCAGGGCAGCAGCCACCTGCAGCTGAGAGAGTGGCGGCAAGTACCTGGAAAAAAACCCAACTCAGGTCTGTTTCAGTCAAAAGCAGTTTCTATAAGAGCATAGTGAAAAACATATTTTTCATTGTACTTTATTGCGATTTTCTTTAGTTTTTAAATCTCACTGCAAGTTCCATGTAATAGCTGTTTTTAAGCTTTTAATTGCATCACACAATCTTCCCTAGTGGACAGTTTGCCCACTTGTTGTGGATGTTCAAATTTAATTTGTTTTTATCTGAGATCCTTAAAGGCCTTTCAGTGACTAAAAGCTGCTATAATCAATATTTTCACATTTTGACAACTGATAAAATGACCGTAGCATCTTTCAGTTTTTATTTTGTTTTTCTGGCCTGTGACATCTCTATCTCTCTCTCCGCTCTTATGAACATTGTTTTACAGCAAAAAATATGCCCGTATCCCACCAGTTAGGCACCAAAATGCAGACAGACAAAGTCAGTAACTAGCTGGTGAACATAGTGGAGCAGCCAGCAACTAATTTCCATTGGGTGTTGGTGGAGACCAAAAACAGAGCTAAAAGTAACGTGAATATTAGACTTACCCAACTGGCACTGAATGTCATCATAAGGTGAGAAAGATGTTGGACTCATGTATTGGACAGATGTTCAGTTTTGGTTGACGATATTTTAAATGTCTAACAGTGTTATAATTTCATGTTATGGAGCTCAGCATAAGTTCAGACAAGAAGACTGTCTTTATGCTATATCCATTCACAACTGTTCCTCTACCCCACTCACCAATCAGCTGACTATGGCTTTTCCCTCTCCCGGTTAGCCAATCATGCTGCTGCTGCTGCCAAACTTAAAATCCGCTCTCCTCAAGATAATATTGGCATGAGACATTTGGACGTTTGTTACCATCAAACAGCCACTACATGGACCTCCACTGTTTTTTTTGTGTTGCTTTGTTTAGATTATGGCATAAAGCACACACACACACACACACACACATATATATATATATATATATATAAAATGTATATACTGTATATATTCTAAACAAAGACCACCCTAAACAAATTAGTATAAACAATAGAAAAAAAAAACATTTAGAATGAGGCTACAAAAAGCCCAGGGCCTCTGGTCTGTCTACAGACCGCTACTGTTTCACTTTTCTTTTTGTGATTTACAAGCCACAAGTGTAGGGTTTTCATTGTTGTGTCCAATGGGAGCATTTAAATAACCCAGTGTATCACAGACATGACAGTCATATGCTTGCAGGCAGTCTTAATTATCTGCTCTGTGCTGCAGTGTTCATCTCTGAAAACCCTTTCTGTAGAATTTTCCACATGCGGAAAGAATTATCAAATGTTTCTGATTAAAAATCTCACATGAGCACAGAGAGAAATAACTCTTATCTGATTCAGGACGTTTACAAACCCCCCTACATGTATCACCTTTAAGTAGTCACTCTGACTTGTTTGCAGCATGAATGAAGAGAGGTTGGGCACCGTGACAGACCCCTCTTTGTGCAGCGACTCC